AGCCCCCAGCAGTCCCAGTGCACAGCGCTCTTCCCTCCTGTGCCTGTGGGTTTTGTCCTATTGGGGTCACACCTGAGTCCCACAAGGGGCTAAAGACAGAGAGAAAGATCTTCTATCTGTAAGTTTACTCCCCAAGTGACCACAACGGCTGAAGCTGAGCTGATCTGAAGCCAGGAGCCAGGAGCCTCCTCTGAGTCTCCCACATGGGTATAGGGTTCCAAGGCTTTGGGTCATCCTCAATTGCTTTCCCAGGCCACACACAGGGAGCCAGATGGAAAGTGGAGCAGCAGGGACACAAACCAGGGCCCAAATGGGATCCTAGCGTGTGCGAGGCAAGGATTTAGCCACAGAGCCATTGTGTGGGGTCCTGAGGTTGGGGCTTTCAAAGGTCAGATCAAGGACCCTCCTAGAACGAAGAAGACAACATGGCCTAATCAGATAACACATGCATATGTGCAACCTTACAGTGCCCTTCTAGCATTTGAGCACCTGGTTGAAGGGAGCCAGAAAGGACATTAAGGCAATGGCCTGCCTCACCTGGGGCTCAGTCTTTGGGTGTGAATCTATGGGGTTGCATGGCTATGCACACTAGGTTGCTTCCTGATAAAAGCCCTAGTGTCCTGTGTTTCTGTCTGAAAACCTCTCTACAAGCTCACCATCTCATCCTTTGAACTGCTGCTCTCAACTCCTCCTAGGCCCTTAAGGGGACACTGAGACCCTCCCAGGGCCGCCTCCAAGCAGAGCTGGACGAGGCTCAGGGCCAGCGGGCAGGTCAGGCTGAAGGAAACCCTGTCCCCCAGGGCAGAAGGGGTGAAGACCCCATCAAAGGCACCAGGGTGAGTGGCAGAGTCCTAGTAGCTTCCTGTGGCAGACAGGGGTGCCATGTGTGCCCCCTAGGGTGGGGTGTACCTGGAGCAGAGGATATAAGGAGGGAAATGCAAGCCATCAAGCCAGGAGGAGAAATATGGAGATGAATAAAACATCACGAGGTTGTCCACTAAATGCTAACTGGTAAATTCTATATGACTGGATCTACTTTCTTATCTTCATGTTTCTTCAATTTCCACATTCCCAAGGACTGGCAAGTGCACACACATACACAACACACAGACACACAGACACACACAACACACACACAACACACACACACACACACACACACACACACACACACACTCTTTATAATTAGAGGAAAGGGGTGCTATTTCAAATCCAGTGAAATGGCTGGGAGATTTTTCTCTTGCTCTCTCTCTAAACAAAAAGTGTCCAGCAACACACACACACACACACACACACACACTCTTTATAATTAGAGGAAAGGGGTGCTATTTCAGATCCAGTGAAATGGCTGGGAGATTTTTCTCTTGCTCTCTCTCTAAACAAAAAGTGTCCAACAGCAAGTATATGAGATGAGGTTGTTTTTGGGGTGCACTTGGGCTCTGCTCACAGCTCCAGTTGTGATAAGCAGTGGGGTCCCGCATCAAGCCTGCTTTCTCTTCATCCCGGACAGTGGGGTTCCCCCATCAAGCCTGGCATCTCTCCATCTCGGATCCCTCATCTGCAAATGGGAGAGGGATCCTTCTCACATAATTAAGCAGAAGGAAATATTGAGTGCACTTAATGCAGGGTCCTTGGCAAGTTTCTAGAATATATTTGCCAATTTCATTTATTTATTTGAGTGGGATGGAGGAGCAAGTGAGAGTGAGGAAGAGAGAGTTGGAGAGCCCATGCACTGCTTCACTCTAGAAATGCCTGTACTGTCAGCTAAAGCCAGAAGTTAGGAATCAGTCAGGTCTCCTGCATGGGTGACAGCTTGAGCCATCACTGCTGCTCCCCAGGGTCCCTGTCAGCACGAAGTGGGACTCATGTGCAGAGTTGGCACTCTGACATGGTCTGGGTCCAGCAGCATTTCGGCTGCCACACCAAACACCCAGCCCAGACCTGGTGTCTCCCATTGTGGAGAGAGGGTGGGGTGGGTGAGAAAGAAGGAGCAAAGATTGTGACTGAGTCAGTTCTCTCTGCTGGGGCCCAGAGTGGCTCCAGACCCTCAGGTCCTCTGGCACTCTCTCCTGCCTTCGGCTGTGGGCTGTTCTTTTTCCTTTCCTAGCAACGCTTCTTCTATTTCTCTAACAGAAGCTGCTTGGTAGTGCCATGAGCACCCATGGGGACAACAGGACTGCAGTTCTACTGGGTGCTGGGAGGCTGTGGCCAGCTTAGGTCACTGTGCCAAGTGTCCCTGAGAATCTGGCAGGGGGGGGGGGCTGTCGGGAGGAAAGCAGGGCAGTTCTCAGTCCTGTCTCCTCCCAAGAGCAGAGAGCTGGAGCAGGAGCTCTTGGCAGGGAGGCAATGAGGAAGGCCCATGCAGGGACCAGCTCTGCTGCCTGTAGTCCCAGCCCTGGGCCTCCTTCCCCAGCAGCACAGGCTGTTTGCCTTGCAGGGTTGGGGAGCCAGGCTAGCCATAAAACTTCCCAGCTGTACCCAGCTCCCTATCGCCTAGCAGTGGGCTCCCCTTGCCAGTCCTGCACTTTCCCAACCTGCTCTAGGGAACTTCTTTCCCTTACAGATCCCAAGATAGACCTGCCCCTGATTCCAGGCAGGCCCTTCTGCCACCACGTGGGAGGCTGGGAAGGCAATCTTGGTTCTTTGGGAGGTTTTGGCTTTCTAGGACAGAGTGGTCTGGGCTGCATTCTGCATATGGTGACTCTGGGCTAGGGGAAGGCATGGAGGGGTGGGGGAAAGGGCCAGTGGCTATTGTCCACAGGGTTAAGAGCAGGTTGTTGAGGGTCTAATGGTGGCAGAGTGAGTTAAGGATGGAATTCGCTGAGAAGCCCACAGCAGACAGATAGTTGGAGTGACACATCCATAGGGCCTCCTTCCAGAAGAAGCCACAGGCTTGACATCATCCAACATACAGGCAGAGAAAACAGGCTCCAGGAATCTATAACCTCGTCACACAGGACATCAAGGGACAATTGGGATCTAGAGGCAGTGGCTGGAGCCCTGGTTTGCATCTGGACAAGTCTTGCTGCCCCACATAGAAGGCTGCAGCAGGTGGGCTGCAGCAGCTTGCTGGCCTCTCCACAGACCCACGTTCAAGAAATGCTCCCCGCCCCACTCTACATCCACCTCTCACAAAGTCTCCAGCCCTCACCTTTGGTCCTTGTGCTTACAAAGGAAAGGTAGAAAGCAAAGTTTTCAGGAACTAAGACATTGGATTTTCTAGCATCCAACTTCTTCCCCTGGAGCTCCAGGCCTAGGCCAGGCAGCAGCTTCCCCTGCCTGCATGTGCTCCTGCCTGTTTAGGCTGCCTTCCCTCTCCAGTGCATTCACTGAATTGGGCTGAACTCATGGGTGGGAGGTAGACTAGAAGCTAGAAGTATGTTGGAACCAGGACCACCATAGGAGGAAGCCAGGGTCCTTGAGCATCTTATTCCACACACTTGTCCCTCCCACAGCTGCCCTTTGCTTCTCTCCAGCTCTCCCATTGTTTCCCTCTTCCTTCTCATTTCCAGGTGAGCTACTTAACATGTTGGTGGTTGAGTGTCTTCCCAGCAGCACCTAGTGGATAAAGAGTGTCTCATGGGCTCAGGTTGGCCTTACTCATTAAATGTGGCAGAAACAAGCCAGGGTCTCAGCTCTGCCTTGGTGCTTCCATTCTGTTGCCTGCCCTCCACCATGACCGGCCTCAAGAACTACCTAAGGAACTACTTCCTTAGAGGGTTTAAGGACCTGCAAGGTGTCCCATCTTTGGGGCCCACCTGCCATTGTCTTTCACTCGGAGCCCTGCCTTGGTTTCTGACCCTAGCTGTCTTCTGAAGGCGGGGTGGTTTTGCACACCCCAAGGTCATCATTGCTCACTAATGTCTAGGGATTAAAGGGAAAATGATCACAGAATCACCCCTCTCTTAAGCCTGCCAATGGTGAACAGTGGGAGCTAACCACCGTCTGATGTTCAAATGCAGGGACTAGCACATATGATGTGATTGTGGGCAAGCCCTTCAACTCTCCTGACCACCCCACCCCCAACCTCACCCCCAAGAAGCAGGCGTAGTAGATAGATGCCTGCCAGTCACAGTCTGTTGCTCTGAGGCTCAGGGAGTTTCTATACTTTCTGGAGTGTGTACACTTTCTGGAGAGGCCAACTCCTTCATCACACACAGAGGGAAACTGAGGCCCCTGGAGTTCTGACACTTGCCCAATTTCATAGCTACTCATGAGAATGAAGACATTGAAAAATTTAGACCAGAACTCCACAAAAATCCATAAATGAAGAAAAGAGAAATGTACAAAACTGAGGTGAGATCAGAAACTGAGTGGAAAGAACCAAGTGTCAGAGATGGAGATGCACGCAGATCTAGGTGTAAGGGAGGGAAAGGGATGTAGGCAAGGAGGAAGTGAAACAGAGAAGCCCAAGGGCAGAGAGCCAGGAGGATAGGGGGTGTTGGAAATAACCATGGAAATAAAAACAAAGACAAAGGCAAAAAGCCCAGGACAGCAACATCGAATTCTGATGTCCCAATGCTTCTCTTTCCTTCTTAACTAACTTGGTAGGGTTGAGAAAGCTTTAGCATTAAAGCATTTTTTTGAGAAGAGAAAGATTAGAAAGGAAGATGTAAATCTTTGATTATAAAAGGATGGCTCAGGCACTGTAAATTGGTTGAGCACCCCTGAATCTAGAACCCCTATCATGTGATTGGGACATTTGTATACACAACTGAAGCTCCCTTGACATTGACAAAAATCATATCATACATGGTCTCTGGGATGGAAGAAGTGTGTGTTTGGGAGTTGAATTAAATGGGATAATGACCTTCAATGGTGAAATATATCTTAAGAGTAGAGGAAGTGAAGAGAAATGGAAGTGCAAGGAATGAGACAGGAACAAACCAACAAGACCACAGGAGACTCAGGGAGAGGAAGCCAAATGCCCTAGTGCTGTGTGCCTTGTCCCAGAGGAAGGAAGGTAGGGTTGGGGAGGGAGGAGGGTCCACTGATCTCACCTTTGGGAGGCCAGGTCAGAGCAGGCAGGCTTCTGCTCGGTGTCAGCAGCTGGGCAGCAGAATTGGTGCAGCACAGTCTCATTCCTGCAGGCAGAGCAGAGGGAGAAGATCAGACCAATACAGTCATAAGGAGGAGGTCTGGTAAGGCTGAGCCAGGCTGGACCCTGGTTCTTCCAGGCACTGTTGCATTTTTGTCTTGTGATTTGTTGCCCCTAAATTTTGGAGCCCCTAAATGCCATCGAGTAGCCAAACATTGTTCCAAGGAAGAAGGAAGTCCTGAAATTTGTCCATTGATGCTAATGACAACCATTTATGGACAGCCTCCAGGATGGAGCTTCTCTGCCCCACTTACTCTCCCCCATTTTGTACTTCTTCCTGCAGGCATCTCTCCTACGTGACTGACCATTTACCCTGCCCAGGGCACCTTTCCTGGGTGTCCATTCATTTAATATGGAAATCAGGCAGTGGGCCTGGAGAAGTGCTTCTCAACCCTCATTATGTATTAGTCACCAGGAGATTTCCAAAAATACTCATGCTGGCTCTGGGCCCTAGGGGCTCATAGCCATGTGATCTGGCCCAGCTCCAAGGCTCCAGGGCTAAAGGTCTCAAGGCAGAGGGACTGAGGGGTGTGGGCCAGATGATGATGTCTAGTATGCAAGATTCTGACGTCTACCATGAGCCACCTGGGATTGAATACTGAAATCACTTCCGTATTCAGTGATGCCAGCCTATTGTTTGGTTCTGGGCATTGTTAGTGTCAGATCTGGGCTGGCCCCAGAGATGGTCTAAAAAGGATTTTCACACTTCTTTCAGTGGAAGAGCATTTTGCTCCAATCCACGTATGACCAGAAGCCTGCTTTGTAAACAACAAAAGCAGGTCAGCTCTGTGGTAGCGCATGAACTGCCTGGGCCACTTCAAAAACTTCCCAGCCCCACGGTCAGTGGCTACCTTCCAGGCACCTCTGAGAGCCCTTTTGCTCAGAGCACAGGACAGAAATGCTCCCTCTGACTGTCCTCATGTGCGCATTGGAGCCTGTCTTAATAGGGCAAAAGCAAATTTAAGAGAGATGATTATTAAATTTGGAAAAAAAGAAGAAAATTACAAGGAAAAAAAACTCAGAAGGAAACTTGGGAATGAATTTCATTTAGATGTTAGGAAGATTTAAGCCACAAAGCTGAAAAGCCATGAAGGAACACCGAGGACATGTTAACTGACATGAAATGAAAACATTTTGTATGAAGAGAGATACCCTAATATGCTGTAAAAGGAAGCGTAGACTGGGAATATCCTACACTAAACTCCAACAAATTACTAGCAAATGCAGTGGGGAAAAAAGGAGGACTTAGAAAGTAAAGGGAAGTAGGCAAAAGATGGAGACCAAGGAGTCAGCAAAGACAAGTAAGATGCCCCAACTCGCTGGTTAAACAGGAAAATACAAATTGAAGTAGCACTGAGACACCAATCCTCACCTATCACATGGGCAAATCTTAAGATCACTGATCGACAGGTGTTGGACAGGAGATGGGAAGATGAAGGTCTTCATCGATTACCTATGCAGGTGTGCATTTTCACATCTGTTTTCAGAAATGAAAAGGAATGTGTGTGTGGGGGGGCTGTTGTTGTGGCACAGTGGGTTAAGCCACAATGTGCAACACTAGCATCCTATACTGGAGCATAGATTCAAGTCCTAGATGCTCTTCTTTCTATCCAGCTCCCTGCTAATACAGCTGGGAAAGCTATGGAAGATGGCCCAAGTGCCTGAGCCCCTGCTACCCACGTGGGAGAGATTAGGATGGAATTCTTGGTTCCTGGCCTCAGCCTGGCTCAGCCCTGGATATTGGCAACAATCTGGGGAGTGAATCAGTGGGATGAAAGATTTTTTCTCTCTCTCTCTCCCTCTCTCCCTCTTTCTCTCACCTCCCTTTCTCTATCATTCTCTCCTCTCTCTCTCTTTCTCTGTTAAAAGAACTAAAAGCGAATGGAACCTGGCTTTGGAAAAGGACTAGAGAGCATCAGAAACCAGCAGGACCATTGATCTCATTTTAAGACAGGACATGGGCACTTTTCACTGGGATTTTTGTTAATGGGTTTTTGGTTGCATAACATTTATAATCCATCAATGAATAACTGCTGCAACTACAGTCAGATTTTTAAAGGACAAGCTGAAAAAAAATGGACTTCCTCCACCCAACTTACAAATGAGAAAACTGGGGAAGTGGTCTCTCTGGAGCTGCTCCCTGGGCAGCTTCACTCCAGTCATCCAGCTGCATTCACTTCCATTGGCAGCCACGTGAACCCAGGTGGAAGTTCCTGTTGGATGGATGCTAGAAAAGCACTGTGATGAGCCCAAGCCTGAGGCTCAGGCTGATACTGCCCCTGAGCCTCTGTCCTGGTCCGTGGTGGCAAAGCTGCAGCCCCTTCTCTCTCGGTCACTTCTCTTTTGCTTGGGGTAGGCCCGAGTTCTTGCCACCACCTTTGTTCAGATAAGTTTGCAGGGTCTCCAGCAGGTGCACCAGCTGCCACCCACATGTGGATCTCAGTCCCTAGATGTATTCATCAAGCCCCTTGTCTCTCAAAACCTCTAGAAAATCTTTGCTAGGACAAATAAAACAGTGAATGCACCTGCTGATGGGCGAGTTCCATGCCTGGACGTTTCCTCCTGTGCTGTGCTGACCCAGCCCTTTCTTCCCTGTTCAGATGACAGGAAGACATAAAAGATGCTTCCTCCTTGCATCCCTGAAATTAACCAGCACTGTGGTTCGTGAATTCTGAGTCCAAAAATGTCCCTCTGATCAAAGAACAAGGATGGGCAGCTCTTCAAATGTGCTTCCCATGAAACATGCCTTCCGTGCCCAGTTCCTCACCCCTGCAACCCCATTTCCTTGGGGTATAAACTGATGTGTGCAGCAAGATGATTCTCAGTAGATTCCACAATCCCCAAAAGTCCTGAGCCTTCACACAGTGTCTTGGACCTGGACTTCAGCTGCTTCTCACTGCTGCAGAAGCAAAGAAAGGAACAAGATCCCCAGAGGGTAGGGTGCAGTCACCGCCTTCTGGGTGAGCCCCAGCCTGCCCTGCTGCATGAGCCAGGGAGAGGCTCTCTCAGAGTCACCATGGAGCATCAGAGTGCCAGGTTGTGAGGTGTGAGGGGTGCAGCTCCAGGCTGAAGTCCAAGGGATTCTGGAGCTGGGAGGTAGGGCATGGGGGTTGCAGGGTAGGGGAAGACTTGAGGAAAGTGGCAACGGAAGAGACATGACCCATTTTTAGCCCTTCACTCTTTTTTTTTTTTTTTTAAGATTTAGTTGGAAAGTCAGATCTACAGAGGGAAGGAGAGACAGAGAGAAAGACTCTCCAAGTGACCACAATGACCGGAGCTGAGCCGATCCAAAGCCAGGAGCCAGGAGCTTCCTCTGGGTCTCCCACGCAGGTGTAGGGTCCCAAGTCTCTGGGCCGTCCTCGACTGCTTTCCCAAGCCACAAGCAGAGAGCTGGATGGGAAGTGCGGTTACTAGGATATGAGCTGGTTGCCATATGGGATCCTGGTGCATGCAAGGCGAGGACTTTTGCTGCTAAGCTACCACATTGAGCCTAGCCCTTCACTCTTGGAATTCCCAGAGAGAGGGAACCTGTGGTATCCTGGTCAAAACTGCCTTTGTGAACCCTAATTTGTAGGATCTGTGGCTGTAATTGGGATTCATCCTTTTCTGGCTTTAACAGTCCCATATCTGTGATGGTTGGGACTAGGGTTTGCCTATAATGTTAGGCCAAATTCATGCAAGTGAGCAAGTGAGAGGCCATTAGATCACCAGGGCATGCCCTTGAAGGTCTTCCCTTGACAGGGTTATTATAGAAGCCTGAGTTGGGGACAGGGCAAGGTCTTCTCCCACTACTTCTGGATTGGCATGTGCTCCTTGCTCCACAGGTCTCTGCCGTCTGCTCTGTGTCCTATTGCTGCAGACAAAGCCTGCACCATGCTGTGTGAGCTTTCAGCCTCATACCCTGTGAGCTCAATAACTCCTTTCCTTTCTAAAGAGAAGCTTCCACAGATATGTTACTCCTGAAAAGCTGACTGGGACGGCTGGCTGTTGGTGGGTTGTGAATGAGGCAATAGAACCTGCATGGGAGGCAGCTCATGCACTCAGAACCATGCTTCATGCATATCCCTGCTTCTGCCAGGAGGATGACGTGGGAAGAAGTGCAGGGGACTTGGGGAACGCAAGACAAGTGCAGTGTTAGTCTGGGCTTCTAGTCCAGAGAGCAATAGCTCACCAGGGAGTTCATAGAATTCATTCAAGCAAGACAGGAGAAAAACTCTGTAGGAAAGATAGCGTGCACCAGCAGAAACGGGGGGTGGCTGAGGCTGAACCAGAAAAAGGTCCTACTTCTTAAAGAGTTGGGAAGAGGAGAGCATGTATAGGTGCTAGGGGAGAAACAGCAGGGAGGGGCAGGTGGGCAGGCTGGAAGGAGAAGAAACATCAGGTGCAACACGTAAGCCAGGGCCAGGTTCTCAGCATCCTGAGAGGCTGCGCACCTAAAACATCTCACATCTATATTTAGACTCAGAATTCCTGTGCCCTATGGTAAAAATAGGACTGATGATGTGCGCAGTGCTATGGTGAGTGACGTGGGTGGAGGGATGAGGAAGGGGACTCCCGGCAGGAAAGCACTAGGGGTGCGGGGAAAGGGGAAAGGGGGGCAGTTCTTTTCATTTTTTTTTTTTTTTTACAAGAGGAGCCCTCACCCACCAGTACACCAAGCAGAAGAGACCATATTTACTGCTCCGGGTTTTGGAGGGAACTCTCTGAGAGCCTTGGGAAGGGACCGTCCTGAACTCCAGGAAAAGGGAGGGATCATCAAGTCTTTTGCAACCTCCACGCCCACACCCTCAACCATCTTAGTGTTATCATCACTAACGCTGGTAGAACCTAAGTGGTTTTTTTTTCCCCCACTTTATTATCTCACTTCCTCCAGAAAACTTTCTCTGCCTCAGTACAATGATGGAAAGAAGAGAAGATACTCATACTTTCTCAAAAGCCTCTTCTAGTCCCCAGTGCGGACCAGGTTGCCAAGTCAGAACAAGTTTG